ACTCACCTCAGCCTCCCAAAGGCGCGGGATTACAGGCTGAGCTACCGAGCCCGGCTGGTGATTGTATTTAGAGACAGGGTTTTTAAGGGACAATTCATAGCCGGGCGCGGTGGCTCAAGCCTGTAATCCCAGCACTTTGAGAGGCCGAGGCTAGAGGATTGCCTGAGACTGTGGGTTCGAGACCAGCCTGGGCAACATGCTGAGCTCTCAACTCTACAATAAATAAAAAAATTAGCCAGGCATGGTAGCATGCTCATGTAGTTCTGGCTACTTGGAAGGCTGAAGTGGAAGGATCACCTGAGCCCAGCAGGTCGACACTGGGGTGGCCATGAGTGTGCCATTACACTCTAGCCTGGGCGACAGAGTGAGACTCAAAAAAAAAAAAGAGGTAATTCATTTAAAATGAGGTCACGAGGGTGGGACCTCATACAATATGACTGGTGTATTTATTAGACGGAGAAATTAGGAGACATACAAAAAGGCAAGATCACAGGGAAAAGTTAACCATCTACAAGCTGAGAAGAAAGGCCTCAGAAGAAACCAATCTTGTTGACACCTTGATCTCAGAATTCTAGCCTCCAGTTCTATGATAACATAAATTTCTGCTGTTTAAGCTACTTAGTCTATAGTACTTTGTTATGGCAACTCTAGCAAACTAATACAATCATTTTTCATTTTTTAATGAAAAAGAAAACATTTATAAAGAGAAAAAAATCATCATCAATGTAAACGAAACCCTTCTTTCATAAACTGTACTAGAACACTGGAGCAACTTGGGAAATATATGTCTTATGCAAACCACACTTTGCGTGACTATCTCTTTCTCAGAATTATATAACTTTTATGCTCCCTACATATGATACTGCCTCATACATTATATTATAATGGGAAAGTGCTACCATAAGGTTGCTGTCTTTCATTGGAAAGGTTGTAATGGTGGCTAGATATCCACTTTATAGAGATAGTGTAACTAGACCTGAAGCATCTGTTAGTTTGACGGCATCGCAAATTTTTAAGATTCCTTCCAACCCTAAGATTCATTAAGTTTCTTTTTATTTATTTATTTTTATTTTAATTTTTTGTTTTTTGAGTCAGAGTCTCACTTTGCCGTTCAGGCTGGAGTGCAGTGGCACTCTCATGGCCACCGCAGCCACGACCTGCTGGGCTTAGGCAACCCTTCCGCCTCAGCCTTCCAAGTAGCTGGAACTACAGGTATGCACCACCATGTCTAAATAATTTTTTTGATTTATTATAGAGACGAGGTCTCACCAAGTTGCCCAGGCTGGTCTTGAACCCCTGGGTTCAGGCAATCCTCTCACCTCAGCCTCCCAAGGTGCTGGGATTACAGGCTTTAGCCACCATGCCTGGCTAGAATCATTAAGTTTCATGGGCAGAGTTACTAGCTTCCATAATGCAAAATTAATTTCACAAGTAATCTAGTTTTGCTGGATTAGATTTTTTTTTTTTTTTTGAGTCAGAGTCTCGCTCTGTCACCCTGGCTGGAGTGCAGTGGCATGATCGTGGCTCACAGAAGCCTCGACTTCCTGGACTCACATGATCCTTCCACCTCAGCATCCTGAGTGCTGGGATTACAGGTATGCACCACCATGCCCATGTAGGGACAAGGTTTCGCTATGTTTCTCAGACTGGTCTCAAACTTCTGGGCTCAAGCAATTTGCCTGACTCAGTCTCCCAAAGTGCTAGAATGTCAGGCATGAGCAGTGGCCTAGTTTTGCTGGATTTCTGACCCAAACTATGATACTTTTATTACAGTTCCTACTTGCCAATTAAAAAATGCCAAAGTGACTTTTAAAGTTAATACCAACTCTGCTGATTCTGTTTTATTTTTTAAAGAATAACGTACTTTATCTACAATGTAGTCTTGTTTTTAAAAAATTTTTAAACCTATATTTTGATAACAACTACAAATACTTAAGAAACTTTACAACCATGCTTAATTCTGCATCCTAGAATTAGCATTTTTTGTTGTCCACCTCAGGAAATATTTTTTTCCACATTGGGCACAAGACTCTGAGCTCCCATTGAAGGACTGAGGTGAATCCAACACATGCTACTGAGGCTATTGAAGTTTCCTTATGGAAACATTTGGTTTACCAGAGCCAATGCCCAGCTCTCTCATCATTAAATTATTAATAGTGCCAATGTAAACTACACTTCTCTATTTCCCTCCAATGTCTTACTGAAAAGCCTTTCATATGCCTTTTTCAACTTCATCCTGCATTTTTGGAAACGCTTTACCCACTCTTTCCCCCAGTGCATGATGCCCGCTTACCAGGCATTTCACTCCTCAAGAAATATCCTCAAGTATTCCATTAATTTGATTAAAGGATTCAAAGTTCTAACTATCAACCACACATTAGTAGATCATGATAAAGTAGAGACAGAAATGTTTCACTTACTTTACCAGCAGTTCCCATCCTGTCTTTCTTTTGGTTCAGAATTTATGACTAATGCTCAGTTCACTGCTGTAAATAACAGCATCTTGTGCCATCACATAAATAGTCTGGCTCAAAAGTTCCGCCTTCAGCAATATGACTCACACCCTTCAAAACTTTCCAATGATCCGTGAGCTCCACCCTTTGCAGACCAAGTTGTGAAAAGAAATATGGTAACTATTAGGATCAAACCAAGAGGAAGAATCTAACAAAGACAGGTTAATCAAACCCCCGAAAAGGGCTGAAAACATTCCTATCCACCTCATTTTGGAGGACACAAAAACAGGATAGGTTAGTTCAGCTCAACACAATTCTAAAAGATGTATTGTGTGCTTCTTTTTTTTTTTCTTACTGTGTGCTTCTTAAGGGTAAGCTGCTCTGCTAGGCTCAACTGATGTTAGAGATGTGTGTCTATATTTGTATTTATACTCTACTTCCCTCTACAAAGACTTGATGTTGTTTGTGGAAAACATGCAATTAATATACAATTGCCTCACTGAGGGCCAAGAAAATGCAAAAAAATTGGAATAGAATGTCAGGGTCAGTCAAGGGAAATTGGGGCTACATAAAATATGGATATGGATGACTATAGTTTCTGGGTGTTTTGGGGATAGAAAGTTAAGTAAAACTTGTGCCTGCACATAGAGAAATTATTATCTTTCCCCCAAATCACGTTATCCATATAATTGTTTCATCTGAAGTTTGTTCATGGCACAAATGTACTCAGTGCAGAGGCTGAAGGGGAATTACAATCCAGCCTGCATACTAGCCCTCGAATGCCAGAGAGTTTTCATTTATTTGGGCCAGGGCTTGACTCTTCTACAGTAGCTGTTTAGCCACTACTGCCCCTGATGTCTTAATATAAGTTGCAAAGACACTAGAATCTCCTGGATCTACAGTTTTGATAGGAGAATGACCAAACAAAGTTTTTGACAGATTTTATTTGGGGCACACTGGCACGCCATCACCTCCAAGCAAGCTCACTCTATACAAGGAGATTTTACTCTTATGGAGTAATCCATTGAAGTAGGTTTTCTAAGTCGTCAGATAAAGCTGTTCAGACAATGAAATCCAGAACCTGGACTCTTACCAACCCAGGGAAGAAATTGGCAAGAGTTAATTTTTCATATAACATGTATGAACAGAACTTTCTTTTGAAAAATGGACATAAACTGCCACAAACTCTCTCTCAATGTAATGTAGTAAGTGCTATAGTTTCAATTTAAAATATACTTATACCTAACTCAGAATTAGTAATTAGAATTAGTTTCTCTAATTCATTAGCTAAATTAAATCCACCAGGTAAAGATATTGCCAGTTGATCCTGCATGTGAGTAAGCACCATTGTTTTAGCAGTAAATGCTGAAGAAACCCAGAATGTTTTGCAAGGTATAAGCAGACAAAGTCAAGCAAGTGTGAACAAGGACAGGCATTCTGAGTCTCAACTTTCAAGCCAAAGAAACCAAACTTTATGTCGGCAACGGAAACTTGTTTACTTATGAACAAAGGCAAACGAATACTAATATGGGTGGTGCCAGCATGAATGCAAAAAGTACTCAATTGAATAATATCTTCCTAAGGGCTTGGCAAAACTTTATAGCATATTAATCTGAAAGTCCAAAATTTACAAAAAATAGGGTACCAAGTGAGGTTTAATATCTGAATAAGTCTTAATGGTCGTAATCTGTTCTCCTTGAGAATTCATTGGATGATACAATGTCAAAAACTGAAACTTGGAAGGTAACCAAGACAAAAAAATCTGTCATGTTGGATACATAGCAGGGAAACCTTAATTTTAGGTTTAGAGAATTTACCAGAAAAATAGTTCTTCTAAATTAAACTCTACGTTTCTATGAAATACTGGATCCAAAACTCTACGGCACTCAGTCTCCTGATTACCATGACACTGGTTCCACTCCAAAAGGGTACAAGAGCTTTTAACGCTTACCTCAAAGTACCTGTGCAACTCTAATTTGCTCAGGTTAGAACACAGGGGAACTTGGAAGAACTTTGAGAAGTGTGCTACAGAAATACGGGCTCTGGAATCAGATTCACTTGGTTCAGGGCCTGGAGCCTTGCTTGGATAATTATGACTTCAGCTTCCACATTCATAAAATGGGACTAATGATAGCCACAATATGTGTGTCCTTAGTGGTGAGGATCATAAAGCACTTAGTGTGCTGCCTGGTTCATAATCAGTCATTTGATAAATATTTCATACAAATGTCATTTTTATGAACTTGATTCCAGTTGGATTGTTATTATTATGATGAATTTGTTGCTTGAATTTTTAGAATATTTAAAATGTAACCACCGGAGACCAAATGTCCTGGAGTCTAGTCTCAGTAAAAATTGTTTTATAAAGGTTAACTGTGGGGTTCTAGAAATTTCCTAAGTTTGGAGACTAAAAGTCTTCTGAATCTGAAAGTGTTACTAGAAATTTAAGTGGAACCAATGAGGCAATATGTGATCCACACATGGGTTGAAAAGCCGTTGGTTTGTCCAGGACTGAGGGAGTTCCCAGGATGAAGGATTATCAGTGTCAAAATGAGGAGACCCTTGTTCCTGCCCCATTCAGTAACATCCTTCTGACATGGACACCATCCAAAACTGTGCTCACCCTGGTCTCATAACCACTTCGCTCAACAGGGAAGTGACAAGAGTCATTGCAGTCAGAAGAGCTAGGTTGAAGTATCAGCTCTAGTAGTGACCAGTAAGCACTTATGACAAGACACTAAATGTTCTGAACATAACAGAGAGGGGAAATAATCCCCACTTCAGGGTTTGGGGTGGCGCACAAGTTAGGCAATGTGTGTGGAAGTGATTATTAATTGTATTCAACTGTCAAACACTCAGTAAATGAAAATTAAATAGATGAAATCCCTATGGTTTAGAGAGGAAGAAAAGGGTCCTTGTGTGCACATAAAACGGGCCTCAGTTTATTGCTGAATCATTCTTAATAGCAGAAAGAGTCATACAATTGTATCTACTGAATGGCATACAACTGTTAGTCACCCAGAATCACAGTGAACGCTGCTGGTTGCGCTTTACTTTAGCAAACTCCAAACCTTGAGGGTGGGGTGTTATTCTTGCCTTTGTTTCTAAAATTTTCCCTGTCTAAGCCTGCAAACTCAGGTGGTAAGTAACATGGCCAGATGCAGGCTGAAACCCATCCTTTCATACCTTCAGCTCTGCCAAGTCATATGGGGATGGGGCCGTGCCAGGAGCAGGGCAGAGACAGGGCAGAGACAGGGCTTCCGCAACTCTGCTCCGATTTGTGAAGCTTTTGCTAATCCTTTTTCAGGCGCACTGTGCCAGCTTTCATAGCTGCCACTCAAGATGGTGCTTGGCAGTTTCAGAGAAATTTCTACTGCACACATACCCTACCTAAGGAAAGAATCCAAAGCAGATTTTTCATAACAAGGCAAGGGCTTCACATCTGTTCCACATAATCTCTCTGTTTCATTCAGCTTGCCAACTGAGTGTGCTGGCTGAGGAGAATTTCAATTCCAGGAGGTCAAAGATTGTGAAAAAAATAAATCCAAGTTGTTGTTGTTTTCCCACTTATCTCCCTTTAAAAAAAGAAAGCACAGAAAAATCAGTGCTGCCATGTATCTGGATGAGGACATATTGAAAACGACTTCCAGGCACCAAGGCCTAGCAGTTCTTTTTTACAGACACTGAGCCTGGGGGGCCATTTCTTGCAGGGAAGGACAGGTGGCAGAACATCACAGCAACTAGAAAGGGAGCATGTCTAAGAAAAGGAAGAAGGGAGTCATGGCCTTGGGGAGAACGCAGACATGGCTCTGGGAGGTGTTCGGCCTGTCATTAGGTCACGTTCAGTGATATGTTCTTTGTTTGCATCTATTTCCAGAGTTCCCTTCAAGATCCATCTCAGTACAATATGGAGTAGGATTCTAGAATGTTATCCCCAGAAGTGGCCATAGACTAATTCTTCATTGCAGAGGTTGGCACTGATTTACAGAGGAAATTCTTGGAAGTACCTTGGACTACAGTGGGGGACAGGCATGGGAGTAAGCTCCCTAACCTCCACCCCACCTCCATTCTCACAGTTTTGTTTCAATCTGTTTAATGGCAAGTTTTTATTTGTGAAGAAGAGTTCCTCTGGGCTTCTGTAGTGGGGGAGAAGGACTGCCTCGTGTTTTCTAAAGCATGGAAATAGAAACATAAGTGACACCTGTAAGACTAATTTGGTATCTATATAGGGAAACAATGTACAATCTTAAATGGGGTAACGTATGAAGATTTTGAGCTGCATGTCATTAAAAGGTTAGAACCATCTGAAAGCAACAATATAGACAACTTTTGCTCTGTTGGAGAGGTTAGACTAATTTCAATGTGAGCTAAGACATGAAACATAAGAACTGATCATTGGAAATGCAAAGGGCAGGGATGACAGTACATATCCAGGCTAGAGCCTATAGAAGTCCTCGTGACTTCCTTCATTCATCCTGGTGCACTGCTAGAAATGGGAAGCAAAACTCAGATCAACATATCCCAGTAGGTTCACTGGAAAGTTCTTGGAGGTCTAAGTCTTCAAAAGTAATCATATCACATAGCCTTGAATTGTAGGAGTTTTTGCAAGGGTGGGTTAGGAAGGCGAAAGAAAGGAAAAGAAGGCACAACCATCTGATGCAATTTTATACATGGTATAAAACCCACAATGCTCATCAATTTCTTAACCACCTTCATCTTCTGGAGCTGGAGAAAGCTTTGTTGCTGTCTGGGCAAGGACAATGGGAATGCTGCTGTCACAGTGAATCAGTTATTTCTGCTCCACCCAGGTTTTCTTAGTATATTATGTTATCTTTAAGATGAGTAGAGAGTAGATCCAGAATTATGTTATGTTGAATCTCATCTCCCTGGGATTCCTGTAATATATGGAGGTTATCTCAGTTTAGAAAAGTCTCAGCTTTGCAAGTTCAAGAGCTTGATTTTGACTAGATTCCGAGTATATCTAATTCACATCAATCATGACAAATTGCTCTTAATTTTTCATGAAAAATTAATTAACCAAATACCAATTCGTTACTTTATAATGCCTGGCATTATATAACTTTGAACATATTTTGCATAAGGAACATGATGGACAGATGTAAGATTAAAAATATTTATCAACCCAAAATAAATGAGCACC